CCAGAAGTGTCCAATCACCTGGAACTGGAGTTACAGGCAATTGTGAGCTGCCACATGAATGCTGGGAGCCAAACTGAAGACCCCTTCGAAAGCAGTAGATACCCTTCACACCTCAGAGGCATCTATTCAGCCCCAGCTTTTCCATTTCTTTAGCTCTGATCACTAGACCAGACTTACATGCATATAACACATACCTCATACTTCCACTATGTGTATACTTCTATACGGAAAATAAAAAATAAAATACAATCTTCATATTTAGTATAGAAATACTGTCCTGTCAAAGAAAATGTCTATGGACAGCAGGGTTATCCATAAGCTAAATGCACTTTATGAAAGAAGACACCAAAGTGATGCCAAAAATAGCCACCATAAATAATACATTAGGGGCATACCATTCCAGGGCACCCTAACATAGGTCAAGTACAGAGTTAAGGAAACTTCTTTTTCCTAGAAGCAAACCATTTCTTGCTGAAACCTCCCAACACAAAACCACTTTGAGTGCACTTTGAGAACACTGAGATCCTCAGCAACTCCAAGCGCATTTACTCACCAGTTTATTTTCTGGCTGCTGAATAAACTCCTTCAGCTGCTTTACAGTAGCCAGTCTTCGGTCTCTGTCATCTTCCCGGGTGATCCTCCGAAGAAGATTCGACAGTCGAGACTCATCCGAGTACGACATCGATCGCTCTGTGAATATAAACATTTCATGGCCACCTAGTACACTAAAAGTATAAAGCATATTGTTCAGGCATTCTGAAGTATATCAAAACCCAGTATACTGATCTCTCTTCTCTCTTTGTATCTATAGAAGAATGCCTGGTCACAGTTCCACAGACCCCAAAACACTTTCAAAGAAAAAATGAATGAAAACCCTCAGCAAACTGAGCACTTCATTAAAGACCAGCTGAGAAAAAAAAAAGGGGGGGTAGAAACATTTTTTTTTTCAGTTCCATTCCAAGTTGTTTTCAAGATCTAGATAAAAAGAAAAGGCATGATGGCAGGTACCTGCAGTCCCAGCTACTCCTGAGTCCACAAGTTTTTTAGATTAACCTGAGCAAAACAAGGAAATCACCTCAAGAAAAACAAAATATAAAAACCAAGAAAGCAGGAATAGGCAATAACTACAAGCCAGGGCTGATGTCTCTATAGGCAAAAAAGGTCATGCTTCTATTTCTCATGGAAGAGGGGCCCCTGGCAGAAAACCTCTTGTTCACAGTATTATCATTTCTCTAACACAAAGTTTAATGTGTAAGTACACATTTAATTTGACCAACATCTAACTCCCACTTGCAGTGTGAACACCATGGCATCACTATGAAAAAGTAGCCCCAGAACCTTTCTTTTTTTCTAGTGGCAAGCAGAGCACAAACATACCAACAGTGCTTGACACTTCTGATATTCTAAATATGAAGATTGTATTTTATTTTTTATTTTCCGTATAGAAGTATTTTTCCTATGTGTATGCAAGTGAACTGTGTACATCCCTGGCACCAAAAGGAGCCCAAAGAGGGTGCTGGGAATTGAACCTGGATCCTCTGCAAAAATAGCAAGTGATCTTAACTATTGAGCCCTCTCTCCAACCAGGACTGTGATTCTAAACAACCAGGTCTGTGATTCTAAACAAAATGATTTAGCATGTGTAAACAAACCACATCTAACATCAAGTTTCATTTCTTAATAAATCTCAAAATAAACATTCAAGAAACTACTATGTCTGAAAGAAGGAACAGGATTCTTTAACATACCCCTAGCCCCCAAGGTATATCAATAAGGATGGACAGGGAAAATAGCATTATATCACTTGTGCTCTAATTCTTCAACCACAAGCAAATCTCACAACTCAAGAGTAAATGAGGAACGGAACTAGATGAAATAAATGTTACAAATATTGAGACATCAAACACTTTGAGGCAGCAGCAGAAACTTTAACTTAGCCACTCAACCTCTGAAATTTTAAAAGTCAGTTTTGTGGTTTTTGTTTGTTTTTTGTTTTTGTTGTGTGTGTTTGGGGGGGGGATTCATTTTATGTGTATTTTACCTGCATGTATGCATATGCACTATGTACATTCTTGGTGCCCACAGAAGTCAGAAGAGGGCATCAGATCTCCTGGAGGTGGAGTTATGGTTTCCAACCACCATGTGGGTTGTTAAGAAATCAAACCAAGTATAAAAGCAACAAGTACTCTAACCACTGCACCATCCTCTCCAGCCCAAGAAAGCAGTTTTTTAAAAGTTAAATGCATTTTTTTTTGTTGTTGTTGTTTTGTTTTTCGAGACAGGGCTTCACTGTGTAACCCTGGCTGTCCTGGAAATTGCTCTGTAGACCAAGCTGGCCTCAAACTCACAGAGCTCTGCCTGCCAAATGCTGGGATTAAAGGTGTGCACCACCACTGCCTAGCTAAACGCCCTTTTTAAAAGGTGGTATGTTTGTAATATATACAAAATGTTCACTAAGATATACATAAAACTACACTGTGCAAAAAGCAATTATCTAAAACAAACCACTTAAATCAGAAACCTCAACTTTGTATGCAGCTCTATCAATGAAATTTTACTTCCCTTTAATAAAAGAAATATGTATTTGGGGTTTTGTTTTGTTTTTCTATTTTGGTCAGTCTGTCTGTTTTTTGAGGCAAGAGCTCTCTATATTACATAGCTCTGGCTGTTCTAGAATTCACTATGTAGACCCTGGTGGACCTGAACTCACAGAGATCCACCTGCCTCTACTTTCCAATTGCTGGGATTAAAGGGATGTACCACCCTACCTTGCTGGAATACACATTATCTTTTCTACCCTGAATGCTGAAAGCACTCTATTTACACTGGAAAATCAGCAATAGAAGGCAAAGTATAGTTATACTTAACTTTTAAAAAGGGTCCCCTCTGTATATAGGACTTGCCATATCTACGACCCATTCAGAAACCCTTTAAGATGTTACCCATATGGCTGGGCTTTAGAGAAATCCTGTCTCGAAAAAAAACTAACAATTTTCTAGAAGCTAGAAGTTCACAGAAAATGGTGTAAAGTGTTGTCACCTGCATGCTTTGCAATTCAGAGCTGCACTTACCTGGTCATGGCCATGAGAGCTAAATGTGGTCAACCCCAGTTTCCAAGTCTTACCCTGTGATTTCCTCATGTCTTTGGTGGCTAATGCACGACTGCCATGCTGAACACTGGTAAACTCAGGGCTGGTCACATTGTTAACCCTCAGCTCTTGCCCCAACGACTTCCGACCATAAGTATTTTCCCCAGATCCTCCATTGACACTGTAGCCACCTGAAAAAAAGCAATGTGTACATTATCTTAACAGGGCCCCAGTTTCATTCCCTCAACTCAACAGTTCAGGATCTTATCCATTTACAGCCTTTGCTTCTCCCCCATCTCCCCTGTGCTACTTTGACTCCAAACCATTTTGATTTATTCATTGGAAGGTAAGTAGAGAAACAAAAGTTAAAATTCAGACAGATTTTACACTCTGCCTAAGAACATTTTGGGTGAGTATACAAGAGACAGTAACCAGAGAACCTCAAATGTTACAAGTGTACAATGCATTTAAACTATATGCATTAAAAGAAATTCTTTAAACAGGCAAACTTTTGAAGTTTTTCAAAAATAATATCTGGTACCTATTTTTTCAATACATTAAAAAATGAATAGAGGGAAGGAAGGAGGAAGAGTGACAGAGACAGATGAGAGAGAGACAGATGTGAGAGAGAGAGAGAGAGAGAGAGAGAGAGAGAGAGAGAGAGAGAGCGCCAGTCTAAAACAATAGCATTCGCCAGCAATAGAAAAATCTGTGTGTGTGTGTGTGTGTGTGTACATATATTTATATATATATATACCCTTTTCGTCATTCTGTATGTCAACATGGCCTCTGGTATCATCGTGCCTTTGCCGAGACACCACAGCTGAATTTGAAGGTTGCAGTCCATAAGAGGAAGAAACACCCCTATCTCTGGATGAGGAGTATTTTAAAGTATCTGGGTCGGCTGATGCACTATCAGTTCTGAAGAAAAAAAGAGAGAGAGAAGAAAAGAAAAATAAAAATTAGTATTAGAGCTTTAAGCAAACATTAATAGCCAAAGCTATACAGCATCTCTCCCCCTCTAACCTTTATGTTCAGCCACAACTCTATCAAGCACTCCACTGTCTAGTAAGTTTTTCAACTCAGAAGAAATTGCCAACAGATGAACTGCCTGCTGCTCATGTTCTCCTACTTGAAGAGCCTCCTGGATTACAGTACCAACGAATGTTGATTTGCTCATTTAGTTAATTTACTTTTTTTAGGAGAAGAGAATATTCGTGCAGATGATATGTGCACATGTGTGGAGACTAACAGGTCATGGTCAAGGTCTGGTGTCACTCCTCAGAAGCTGTTCACTTTGCTTTGCTGGGTCCTGAGGCACATCCATCAAACAAGCTGGTTGAATAGGGAGCTCCATGAATCTGCCTATCTCTGCTTTCCCTCAGCTAGGATTAGAAACACAGCTACTGCACCCAGCTTTTTATATGGGGTTCCAACTTAGGGCCTCATGCTTAGGCAACAAGCATTTTATCGATTGAGTCACCTCCCCAGCCACAGGACTATACTGTTTTGCATGGCATATTCTCCTATCCCAGGAAAACTAAATAACTGGTCACTCTTGCTTCCATAATGTGATTCTAAAAAGTAGTTCTTCCTACACTCTCTTTCCACAAAAGCTTATCGATCAGTCTTCCCAGTTATAAATGAAAAATACTGTTAGCATGTCAAAGAAACTGGAATTCTCAAATTCCATGTAAAGTTAGTACTTCATGACAGTGTCTACTGAACTCTCAACTGAATCTTCAAATATCTGGCAAGGAAATATACACTGGTATTTGAAAAGCTAGTAGGCTATAAGAACACATAAACTAAAAGGAAGATTGTGTTTATGCTTGGCTATTTAATGCCATCACTGGAAAGAATGCCAATTAAACTTATTTAAAAAGCAAGAAATAAAGTTAAATATTACATTTAATTATTTATTGTGAGTGTATCTCTCAGTAGAGATATGTGTGTCCATAAGTACCATAGCAAGCACATAAATGTCAAAAATGAGTTTGGGGCAGACAGTTCTCTCCTTCTACCATCTAGTTCCTAAGGACTGAACTGAGATATCAGGTTTGACAACAATAACACTTATACACTGAGTCATCTCACCAGCCCAGCAAACAAAATGTTTAAAAAAAAAAAAAGAAAAAAAAAAAAAGCAATTTCTCAGAATTCCAGACATGCTGAATCCGAAGGCTGGGGTCAGTAATGCAAGTACTGTCAGAATAATACCTGACACCTGGATATTAACAAACAAGTGGTGAAGCCCAAGACAAAACCAGCATCTTTATCCAACTATCAGCTCTTTAATTAGCTCTATACCTCAATTTCCTTAGTGAAATAAAAAAAAGACAAGCCACAAGATTTTTATGAGTCTTATTCTAAGTATTAATTATAAACTGTTAAACAAAAGAAAATCAAATATTTGATTTTAGCATATGAAAAATACAAGTAACTTGTTTTCTTGATTTTCCAAGAAAAAGAAATTAATTTAAAAAAAAATAGCAGTAGTAACAGCATTAATTTCTCTATTCATTACAAATGTCATCTGAGTTAGACTTGGTGATGAAGGCCTTCAATCTCAGCTACTCAGAAGCTGATACAGCAAGATCACAAGTTCAACACCAACCCTGGACAATTTAGTGACCCCATACCTCATAAAAATCTGATAGGGGGAGAGGTAGAGGGCAGTTTAGAGCTCCTTGCCTACTACAAACAAGAGGAGGTTCTAGGTTTAGTACTCAATACCACAGAACAAACAAAATGATACCTGAACTCATGATCATTTTGGAAAAACTTAGGGTACTAACAAAAACAGAATGAGCCTGTGTTCCTCTCTTATATGAAAAAAAAGGCAGCAGGATTTTACACACATGCTCCATTTTTACTTTATAATCCCGTTCTTGCCCTCACCAACTGGACACCTTGGTCTGTACTTACTGCAATTCCTGATGATACAGAATGCAGAACAGGTTCAATTAAACTTGAACCCCTAACCAGAAAGTCTGAGTCAATACCATAACCTAGCAACCTAAAACTGCTAAGGGTGGACTGTCTTATTCAAATATGTAGTTTGTGCCCTTATAAACAAAGCTAATTCTTCTAATGCAGAAAAATAAAATCCATGAAATCCCCCCCAGGAGACAGAGATGTATGCAGATACTTTGTAAGTACACTAAGTCAGTAAGAACTAATGCTCAATGAAGCATAAAAAAAAACAAATGAAAAACTAATCCTTTGTATCTCCAAGAACAGCACTATTAAATGTGCACCTATAATCAACTAATTCAATATTACTTTTTCAAAAAACACTGAAGGAAAAGAGAGCTTATGGGCTTCCTGGCAGAGCCGGGAGAGGAGAAAGGGGATGGGATTGGGGAAGGGGAAGGGGAGTTTTCACTTAACTCAACCTGAAAAAAAAAAAATTAACTTAGTAAATGTACAAATCAGATAAGCACATGACTAATACTGATATGTAAAACTCACCTACCAATATTTACACATGCTGGCATTTCCTATTCTCATTATGCTCACATGTACCCTAAACAATCCTAACTGTAGCGCTTTCTGGTTAAAAAAAAAAAAAAATAGTAGTAACATGAGACTGCAGATCATGCAAGTTAAAAACATTTGGGCTATAAGACTCCAGCCCCAGTGCTATAAGGGCACACTTTGGTTTCCAGGCCTTTGTTTTATCTTATATAAAATATAGATTAATACCTATCTAACATACAAGGCTGCTGTGAGGCTCACATAAGATATAGAATTCTTAACAAATACATAACTTGCAAAGCACATTAAGAGTTATTATGGTCATAATTCAAAATAAACGAGTTTTCCAAGCTGAAAGCATATATAAGCAATTCATGAGCATGTAAATGCAATCAAAAGTTTTTACACTAACTGTAAAAGCAGCTTATGTTCTTTAACGAAGAAATTAATCATTTACTGCTACCAACAAGTTACTAAGTTCATCCTATTTCATGTTTACAAAACCAAAAGTGATTTCCTAATTCATTAGAAACACAGGTTTTTAATTCCCAAGGGTTATGAACACTGAAAATTTTTTCAGCACAAAATTAGTTTTGAAAAAATGTAATAACAATTCACTAGGCAGAACCACTGCATCAGAACTGTCCCACATGTCCTCCTGGTCAAGCACTTGTAATGCAAATTCACATTTCCAGCCAGCATTGAGTATATGTACTTTGAAGCAAAATGCACAAAATAGCTGAGCATTATATGAAACAGCTTTTACAATTTCTAAACTACTAATGTCTCAGAAACTATCTATGTTAGGCTGTTAGCGCCAACATGACAAGACCACCCCAGTCCAAATAACAGACTTTTAAGAACAGAAATAAGCAATTAAGATGCAGCAAAGCACAAAACAGAAAATACAGATTTCAACTCCAGGAGGCAGGAATCAGTGTTAGGAAAGCTAAGTTAAAAGGGCTGAAAAAGCTATCTACCAGAATTAGTGTTTCAATTTAGTGGAAAAAGAAAATATATCTGTTAAACTAAGAATCTTAGCAAGGATCCAAAAATATTTCCACAGTCCCTTTAACACTCGAAAAATGTGGAGAGGAAAAAAAGAAATGCATAAATTTCCCCAAAATGATCCAACTGAAGTTAAGCCTGATGTACATGCCACATGAGAGGTAAGTTTCTAAAGCTCATACCTCAAAAATCGCATACTGTGTAATATGGAGCCTTTGTGGTGTTTTGCATCAAGTCAAATCTGTAAGACAGCAGTTACAGTATTAGTGAAGACAGCGAGTTAAAACATTTGTTCAAACATGAAGCAAATCTCACTCATTGGGTTAGGTGCTCTTTCTTTAACTTTGGCCACTGTGGGTTCAAACACTGAAGCAAAAATCCCGGATAGAAAGCCACTCTTGCCTTAGAGGACAAAGATTCTTTAAGTGGCAATCCAAAAGAAAAAAAGAAAACAAAAAACTTGAGTACATAGAGAATTTAAATGTTAACTGTAACATACAGATCCCATGTGAATACATTATCACTCGTTTTATTTACCTATATTCAAAATCCAGAAAATGTTATAAATCTAGGTTATTCACTTCAGGTGATTCAAATCTTCAGCCCTCACACATCTGCCACTGGTTAAAACAGTATCTTCTGGATAGTCTTGTGTCGTCCGGCTCCTATAAGCATTAAATAGAACTCCCCTTTCCTCAAAAAGCCACCTCTAGAAAAGTGAAGTTAGGAAAACTTAAGAAGCATTTCCATAAAGGACCCTAAAATGACTTGATGCAAACAACACACCTAGTGGTGCCGCTGAATAAGCATCATCACTTTAAGCTGTTTTTTAACCTGGGCTGAAGAAATTTCACTCCCATGATTAGGCCTAATTTGTAATGGGTATAAACCAGGAAATGAGATTGGCCCTTAAGGCAATAAGGTAGCAATATATGCTCTTTGCAACAATGGTACTCAAGAAGCAGCTGCAGGAGATGCTGGGAGCTCATATTGCTTAAAAATGATGTGCCTTTTAAGTTTAATCCAATACTATTCCCATAAATTTTTCGGTCTTAGTTAGGGTTTCTTTCTATTGGGGTAATCAAAAGCAACTTGGGGGAGAAAGGGGATTATTTCAGTTTACAACTCTCAGGTCACACTCTATCACTGAGAGAAGTCATGATAAGAATCCAAGGCAAGAACCTGGAGACAGAACTGTCTTCCTCAGTCTACCTGCATATACAACTCAGGACCACCTGCCCAGGGGTTGCACTGCCTACAATGAGCTGGGTCCTTAAAGAAAATGCCCCACAGGCTTGCCCTCAGGCCAACTTGATAATGGCATTTCTCAATTGAGGTTTCCTCTTCCCAAATGACTCTAGCTTGGGTCAAGTTGACCAAATACTAACCAGGACAGTCTCTTACTCACCTGGATTCAAGCATGCTTTCATGAAGAAGAAAGGACAAAAAAGCCTGGAGCTTCAGGAACATCATTTTCACATTAGAAAAATGGTCCTAAGAGCAAGTCAGGGGATGAAGGACTCATTTGGAAGTCTCAGACACTTTCCCTCTTATTTTTACTCTATGTGTAGGAACATCTTGCTTGCATGTATGTTTGTACACATCCCACGCATACCTGGTGCCTGCAGAAGCCAGAAGGGGGTGTACGATCCCTTGGAACTGGAGTTACATAGATGGTTGTGAGCCCCCCAAGTAAATGCTGGGAATTGAACCCAAGTCCTCTGCAAGAGTAACCAGTAGTACTCTTCACCGCTTAGCCATTTCTCCCACAGATTTATAAAAAAAAAAAAAAAAAAACCAACTTTTCTCAAAAAAAAGTGTGCAAATAAAACTGTTATCATTTCACTTCAAAATTATAAATGAATTTGCATCAATTATGCAATATTAAAAATGTAGTTAATATGATTCCTTGGTAAATTTTCCTTAGCTATCTAAGGATTAAGTGACTATAACACCAAATTTTAATTATTTAAGTTCTGTTACCTATTTATTATAAAACAAACTCTAATAATTGTAGACTGATGAAAAGCAGAAATATATTTAACAAATGTGAAATTACAAGATACAAAACTACCCAAAAAAAAGCTGTGGCTTTTATCTGTGGAATCTAGACAGTAATCTTTAAAATCCTGGGATGCCATACCTATGAAGGCTCTTTTTGTTCTCCTGGGGGCTCTGGAACAGTGTGAAGTATGGTAGAACCTTTGAATTACAAACTAAGATAGCAATTCAGGCAATTAGCTACAGATCCTCAATAAAAACTCACAAAGGCTGGAGCAAGCACCCCAGTTGGGTACTGTTAAACAAAGATACCAACAGGAAACCATACCATGTGCAATTCTTGGAGAGAAAGACAATTGCAAGCTCCATACCCTGAACTTTTATGGACTCTGTCCTATGTGTCCTTTAAGCCTGATATAAGGACTTCTTTGCAATTAGCATTAGAAGTAAGAGTGGTATTAGGGACTATACTCCCCCTACCTGCACCTACATTAAAAAATCACTGAATATACATACTCTCACCTAAAAAGTTACAAAACTCTTCTAAAAAGTTTTTCATATTTAATAAAACAGAATATTGTTTCATTTCAAAATTATAAGTAAATCTGCATTAATTTTGCAATACTAAAAATGCATCAAATACAATTTCTTGGTAAAGTATAATTTTAGTGACATCTTTAACAAATGTACTGTAGCTTTCAAGGAACTTCAAATATTATGTTTGTTGACCTTTAACCCTAGTAAATAGAAGGTGCAAAGGAAATTATTTTAGGCTGTAACCTTTGCTTCATGGGCATAACTGTTTTCAGAGAAAAGCCTGATGAACTCCATCCCACTGATTCACACTCCTTTGAGCTACTATAATTATAATCTATAACAAGACCTTCAAATGATACTCGGATTTACAGACTGTACATTCACTCTATGAGCTAACACCATGAGCTCCTACTAAGAGCAGCAAACCTAATCAAAGGCTCAAATCTGAAATACCCCCACACAACCATGCTTTGTCCCCAGCTGGTAGCCCAAATTTGGGAGACTATATAGAGAATTTAGAGCAGTGGTTCTCAACATGTGGGTTACCTAAGACCATTGGGAAACATAGATATTTACACCCCAGGTCATAACAGTAGCAAAATAGCAGTAGCAAAATTAGTTATAAAGTAGCAATGAAATAATTTTATGGTTTCAGACAACATGAAAATTTGCATTAAAGGGTCTCAGCATTAGAAAGGTTGAAAACCACTGCTTCAGAAAGTGGGACTTCACTAGAGAAAGTGAGTCAAGAAGGCAGGTCTTTGGGAATATATCATCTCCACTCCTTCCTGTTACACTCTACTTCGGCTGCCATGCTTACCCTGCTATGATGGACTGAAACATTCTAAAACCATGAGCCAAAATAAATCCTTCCCTTGAGCTGCTTTTGTCAAGTATTTTATCACAGCAGCCAGTAAAGGAACATCTACCATCTCATTTCATCTTTGCTACAGCTTTATTAATTGCCTTAAATGGATGGGGCCACTGAAGTGACCTAAAGTTCTCGACTTTACAAATGACTACAAACTTTCTCCCCATAAATCCAAATTCACCTCCATCTGCACATATAGCCTTTTTTCCATCTTCACAAGTAAAGCTCCTACCTAGAGAAGTCACCTAGAGCCTGAGTTTCACCTGTCTCCCAAGTACCTTGGGAGACTACACACAGACTCTCCCACTTCACCACTGTTCATCATACCACCTGCAAGGGCACTCTTAACAGCATTCCTGTACAAATAAGTAAACTCCTTTCCTTTTAAAAATCTAGTCAGGGGGCTGGAGAGATGGCTCAGTGGTTAAGAGCACTGCCTGCTCTTCCAAAGGTCCTGAGTTCAATTCCCAGCAACCACATGGTGGCTCACGACCATCTGTAATGAGATTTGGTGCCCTCTTCTGGCCTATAGGCATACATGCAAGCCGAGCACTGTACACATAATAAATATTTTTTAAAAAATCTAGTCAGGCACACATATGGAATGCTTGTTCTTAGGCGGTGGGGTTAGGAAGGTTAAGAATTAAAGGACAGCCTCACCTACACAGCAATTTGGAGACTAGACTGGGCCACATGAGACCCTGTCTTGCACACCTCATCCCAATCTAATTGTTCAGATTCTTCACAGACAAGTCCCTCAAAATTCCACCTTAACTTCCACTTACTTTTCAGCTCACTGAAACCTTCACCCTACCTTCAGCACATCACCCACCATTTCTGCCCAGTAAGAGTTGTCTTTCAGTGTACTTTCCCCTCAGTCCCACCCTTAAAGACGGGGTCTTTCTGCAGTCCATGTTGTCCCAGGACTTAGCATGCAGATGAGGCTGGCTGGATCACAGAGATTGCCTGTCTCTGCCTCCCAAGTGCTGAAATTAAAGACATGCACTACCATGCCCGACTTCATTTCACTCTCATAGCTAAAGACCCAGATGCATTTTTCAATTTCCAAATGCTCCTTTTCTCAATGCTGTTCTGTCTGCTGTCTTGTTTGGTTTGATTCTTCAAAGTAGCTATAGCTGCAATAGCTCTGTACTTCCATCTAGTCCAAATAACCCCTTTATTCACTTCCTCCCATAACCAGCTTACACTGTGACATAACAGTCTTGCGAAGCCTCTTAATCTTGCTTAAGATTTTCTTCACAACAAGCTGGCGAAACCCTAACCCCAAATAAATCCAACGAGCAACTACTCACTTGGAAGCATAACACTGCCAACCAACTGCCTATACTTCCCCATTCCCTTCTGATTCCAAAACATCTTAACCCCCAACCCACATAGAGTCTAACCTTTACTAAGAAAAAAAAAAAAAAGATAACATATCTGCAATCAATCCTACAACTCCTCTGAGCTTTTCAGATACTTCCTCTTATAGAATCTCCTTCCAACACAGCTAAATTTTCTTCCTAAATGTAAAGTTTTCTAATTTAATGTCTCTCATTTAAAAAAATATAAGATCACAAATAAACAAACAAAAAATCTCCATCAAGTCCACATGCCCCTCAACCACATAATCTGCTCCCAATGGCCAACCTGCACTATCCTCTCCCATTTCTTCACCTTTGCCAGCTCAACTCCTGATGTGACTTGTGCTCATGCCTCTGCCCTCCAGGTGCTTAAATCCAAGATCTATTTTCAGGTCTCAAATCTATTCACCTCTCAAGGCTCTCATGGAACTACAAATAGAGTTGTGAGTTTTGCCAGAGGGATGAGCTACAGAAGAAATTAAAACTCCCTCTTTTAAATAATCTTATATTATGAGCTGGAAAGACAATTCAGCTATGCTAAGAGTTACTGTGCTGTTTTTCCAAAGAACCACAGTTTGGTTCCCAGAACCTGTATCTGAAAGCTCAGAATCACAAAGTTTGTCTCTTTCTCTGCCTGTGGATCAGGAATATGGCCTCTTAACCACTCTTCTAGCACCTGACGGCAGGAGGCACTATCTTACACCACACATTTTCCCAGAAAGGAGAATAAATGCAGTTGTTGCTGCGTGGAAAAGAGGGCAGAAGAAAGAATGAGAGGAGTTTAGA